TTAAAAAATATTTAGAAACTATTTTTCATCAAACTTACTTATATTTTGCTTAACAGTTTGTGGAAGAACAGCTTCAGACCACTAATGGTCTTGTTCCTACCCATTCAGTGGCCTGTGCAGTGGGGGCAGCAGACCGGTCTTCGGAGGCGGGCTGAGCGCTTTCAGTAGGAAACTGCTGTACAGGCTCAGAGGGCACCCATACCTTCAGACCAGTCAGCGACCTCAGGCTGAGCAGCAGTGAACTCAGGAGCTGGAGAAGCCCATTCACCTGAAATGCCTCCTTCTTTGGTCACAGCTTTTCAGCAGCAACCAGCCTGCGCTTCCTTTTCAATCTCTTCAGGATCTCTGAAGTAGAGACCAGGAATGACCTCTCATGGGTGCTCACAGGAGATGGCGCCATGCGTGCGCAAAGCTTCCTGGACCAGCTTCCACATCAGACCCACTATGTGAGCCCACTTGTTGTTGCCAGGGATGGCAATGAACACATAGCCCAGATTAGAGTCTGTGTTACACAGAGGAATGGTAGGCAGGTTAACACAGGATGCCTCTGTGAGAGGCTGGTGGTCAACCCTGGAATCAGTAACCACCAGAAGTTCTGGCTTCCAGAAGGCTGCCTGGATCTGACTGGTGAAGGTTCTAGGAGTGAAGCAGCCAGCAACAGCAGTGGCTCCAGTGGCAGCAGCAAACTTCAGAACAGTTCGCTGGCCAGTATTCCTGCACAGTCTGATACTGGCCGCCGCAGGGTCTTCAATGGCGACAAAGGCATGAGCTGCCAGCAGAGGCTTCTCCCACATTCTCTTTAGACTTATGATGTAGATACCGTCACGTCTCCTTCTGTAGATGTCCCATTGCATTTGGAAGTCAAGCCACCTCAGTGGGTTCCTGCTGCAAGGAATGTGAGGACATCCTCCTCCTTCACTTGCAGGACATCAAGGGCTCTGGACATTGTGAAAGTTTCCCTTTAAGTTACGTGGGAACTGAGAACAAGGCCGAACAAGGGGCCTCTCTCTGGGTGAGGGAAGAGGAAGGAGGGACAGTGGTTTTTACAGGGTTCTCTTTGGCTGTCTTTTTCCCTGACCATAACCAGCTATTTAGCTTTCCTAATTGCTGGGTGAGCGCTTTATTGCTTCCAGTAATACCCTGGGGTATAAACTGCTCCCCAATAAACCAATGAAATACAGACTCCTTTGCAGGGATAGATCTGAAATTGTTATTGGGATTTGTTTTGTCGCCAGTCTCTTCCCAGGTATGTCCTTCCTAGCTTCTCTCATGTAAACTAGCCAGCCCACAGTTGAACTGGTATGTCCAGTAATTCTACTAATATCATACTAATTGCCCTTCACTACAACCTTGTGTTTGAGAGCACCCTCAGGCTTGAACTTCTCCATATTCTGTTTCAAATGAAGTACATTCCTTTAGTAAAAAAATAGGAGCTCTCTGGTTTACAGCCTGTTCTCCCTCCAGGCAACAACAGCTCGGCTGTCATGCCTGTGGAGCTAGAAGTAGGAACAACAGCAAGCTTCTAACACTTCCAGTTTAGGAGCTGAGCGAGTGCTCAGTGGTGCTGCGGGCGGGCAAAGTCCAGTTAGCTCTTTTTTGCTTGACTCTCCCAGCATGGAATCACTGCCTAACCAGCCATCAGATGACTGAAGAGTCAGTATTTTTAGCGGCACAGCACTCAGGGTCGAACCTCCTTGGAGGCCAGGCACAAGGGAAACCTCAACTTTCACCGACACTTGCCTGCAACTTAGCTTCAGTATCAGAAAGGTGGGAGCAGGACGAGAAAATACTGATTCTCTCTCTGCCCCCGCTGGGATGATAGCCGTCCAGCTGGGAGCGGAATGGGACAGGGCCCGGTGTTCTCGGACGCCCCGATATGGGGCCGAGTTTCCATCTTGCTGACTTGGGAGAAGGGATCTCCGTTCAAATTCCACAACTCTCACTATTCTTATCAAAATTTTAATAAATTTTCTTGAATGTTTTTTTTTAGTTGCCGTATTTCCTTTAACCATATTGAGATTTAAACTTTTTAAAAAAATAATTTTCCCTAGTTTTGCTGGTGACTGCGTCATGGTGTTAGGCTACACTCAGTCACATCCCCCGTTTTATTTCCTCTTTCTGGAACAGGTATTCTAGTAAGACTTATGTTAGAACTGTGCTGTAGTTTATATTTCAAGCTACCCTATTTTCCATCTCTTTATTTCTCCATGTATCTTTTTCTTTGAGTTCATAATCCACTTCACCAATTTTATCTTCAAATCTCATGTTCTGAATAATGCTTCTAATCTTGACTATATTTAAAATTTCCATCAGTACTATTTCTTTTAAAAATCTACCTAGTATTTTAAGAGTCTTTTTTCTTCTTGTGGCCTTGTTCCTAATCATTTATCGAATATGTATTTCATAGTATATATCCAATCCATTCTTAAATTCTAAGGAATTTTGATTGCTTACTAAGCTTGTTTGCTATTGTTAAATTGTGTGAAATACTGTATATACTATTTTTAATCTTAATTCAAACAGGGAAGCTGTCATGTTTCTTCTGTGTTTAAATGAAGGTAACTTTGTATTACAATTTTTTTTTTGCCACTCATTAAATTAGTGGATACCTGCACTAAACATGGCTGCTAATACACAAGAGAGGAAACGTATGACTCTCCTAATGGAAGAACATACCACACAGTGTTGAAAAATAAAATGTCTAGATTCAATTTATCAACTTAGAGGAAATACAAAGGACAGAGGATTGTTAAACTACACTATGGGGATGTAGTTACAAGAATCTGTGAAACTCTCAAGGACAAACTGGGCTTCTTCATCAAATAAACTGTAAGGGGAGAGGGATGAAGGGAGAGGGAGGGACAGAACATAAACAATAAAAGGAAAGGGAGAGTAGACAAGAATGAACATATGATTAAAGATATGTATCAACCACTTGCCACATGTGAACTGGATCCTGATTCAGATAAACTGTAAAAAAAGGACATTTATGAAACATTTGAAATTCCAAATATTCACTGCATATTTGATGACATTAAGGAATTTTTATTCATTTTCTGTGTGTTAATGGTTTTGTGGTTATCTTAAAGAATAACACTGAAATATTCATGGATTAAATTATGTGATGAGAAATGCTTCAAAATACATGGGAGGAAGGTAGGGAGAGGGAATTTAGAAAAGATTGTTCGAGATAATTATTTTTTCTTTTCTTTTTAGAGAGCAGAAAAAAAGATCAACGTGTGATACATCCATAGGCTGCCTCTCACTCCAACTGGGGACCTGGCCTGCTATCCAGGTGTGTGCCCTGACCAGGAATATGAACTGGCAGCTCCTTGGTTCACAGGCCAGTGCTCAACCCACTGAGCAACACCAGCCAAGGCTGAGATAATTCTTGAAGCTGGGTCATGGATAAGGGTTCATTACTGTTCTTCGTGTTTTTTGTATATACTTGGAATTGGCTTTCTTATTACTACTTTAGCCTTGTAAACTTGATTTTTATGGGGGGGGGGGATTTGTAAACTAAAGTGAGGTCAAAAAGAGCAGATCAGGAATGCATCATCACATTCCAATGTGTAGAATTTCAAAGCTTGAATCACCTACAAAACTGAGGACATGGTTTGAAAACAATTTCCTTTTAATCTTCCCTAAATGACATCAAATGTTTTTTAATTCTGTAAAAATGTACTCTCTTAACAAAATACCTATGAAATCAAGCACATATCTCCTTTTCAGTTGGCTAGTATAAACAACTCCAGGATGTAGTGAGACTAAGTAGCAAAACATTTTTAGGTCTCAAATATAACCCTGTTATTCTAGCGTTCTCCACTCTTTTGCTTAACACTGCGTATTTACTATTCTGGTTGTCTCATCCTCAAAATCATGAAAAAAACAGTAAGTAGCTCATAATGCCAGTAAAGATTTCTAAGTTAATGAAAATATACTAATCGGTAACTGGGCACTCTTCCAAAGGTCTAAGTCACTAAACTAGAACTTTCCCACTATGTCCATAATCTACTAGAGAAACTTCTAAATGCTCAAAAGTAATCATGGTGTTCACTACATTTTGTAGCTAAAAAGTTAGATACATCCCATGAAGAAATGGTCAGCAAAGTCCTCAAGAATGAGGTATGATGAAAATTGTATCAGCTGTGTATGAGGAGGGAATGATGGGTAACAGAAAACAGGAGTATAGTCCATTTGTGAAGTCTGGCAGTGAGGTTGCTAGAAAAGGCTACAGTACTTTTTGAAGGCACCCACATGTTTTTGCCTTGACATTTTCAGACATCTAAGAAATGAAAGTAGGTAAAGTATATCTCACAGGGTAATGAAACAATCATGGGTCACAGAGCTAGAGGACCCTGGATTCAGATCCAGTAAGTCCTTTGTGGATCTCTAATGTGCAACCAGAGTCAAAACCACTGCACTAGAGGATCTAAGAGCCAAAGTCACATGTAATCCAAACAGCTCAATATTACTGCTGGAGGGTCACTGGTTTATTCCATTATTTATAGTTAGTAGTTTATAATCTTGAAGGCAAACTCATAGACACAAAGATTAACTTAACAGATTTTTTAAACAGACAAGATACATCATTAAAGGACCCTATATAGACCATGGTGAAAATGATTCTGAGAAGAAAAAGATCTCCCTATGATAGAAAACATAACATAATCCCATAAAATAAAATGTCAATTTAAAAAATATCTGGCACACTGTATGTATACATAGTCTATTAGATAGTTTAAGACTATGTGTTACCTGCTCAGCTCTTCTCAAGAAGCTGTTGCAAACCCAAGTATTGTTGACTGTTCAAGTCATTAGTGATTTTTATTTTTTATTATTAAAAAAATATTTTATTTATTCACTTTTAGAGAGGGGAAGGGAAGGAGGGAAAGAAACATCAATGTGTGGTTGCCTCTCACATGTCTTGCACTGGGGACCTGGCCTGCAACCCAGGTATGTGCCCTGACTGGGAATCAACAGAACTTTTGGTTCACAGGCCAGGTGCTCAATCCCCTGAGGCGCACCAGCCAGGGCCCTTTTTATTTTTAAATTATTTAAACAAAATAAAGATGGAACTCAAAAAGAACTCCTCTTAGTATCATCTTAATTTTTCCTTCATTACCAGAAATAATGTGTTTAACAACTGGATCTAAGTAATTTTTATTTTTGAAGTAAGTTTACTGTTTGATTATATTCATGTAGGAAAAAATGTGAAGACAGAAAAATATAAAGAAAATTAAAATTATCCAGTGTACCCCCAAAGTACAATAAAAGATTTTAATTCTTCCCCGTCTTTTTGCACATTTATGTAGAATTTTAACACAAAATCAGGACTGTAAAATGCTTACATATCCTTTTTCATCAAGCAGCCAATTCTTTAGGACGTCAAATATTATATAAACACATGATCTTCAGTTGGCTGCTTCACAATCTAATTAGAGCTGAAGCATAACTTATGTCCAATTTTTGGATATCACGGTTGTTTTGAATGTTATTAAAACTGACACTGTATTAAACATCCTTCTTTATACATAATTCTTTATGTGCATTTCTAAAGTTTTAAAGATAAAAGGAGTAGAGAAACCAGCACAAAGTGTGTAAATATTTTTAAGCCTTTTGATACACTTTACCAAACCACTCTCCAGAAAGACCGTACCAATTTACAGTGACAACAATAAATAGTCCAAGAGTCCCACTTGGCCACATAGGAAACTGAATGTTACTTCCCACCCTTTATTGCTATGAATTTAATGGGGGAAGGGCGATTGGTGTCTTCTTTGTTCTAAAGTGCGGGAATTTTTCCACATTTCCTTGTCATTTGCTCTCCTTTTGTTTTTTGAAGCAGTCCACGTCTTTCAGAAGGCATCTTTCACATTGGCATGGTCTTGTCTTATCACATGTTCTTCCTTAGCGGGTAAGGGCATGAAAGCTTTCCACATTTCAAAGCAAGCAGGAATTCCCCAAAGGACTAGAATTAGAAAGTCTTCTTGCCTTCTGGGCAGCCAGGCTATTTTAATGTCTCGGTAATATAACAGAGAACTGGGCCATAGTCTGAGGGAAAAAGTAGGCACAGATTACAATTAACCAAGCACTTACTGATTTGTATGCATGATTTTATTGTACTTGGAATTCTGTTAAAAACCACATTTTTATTTTAGAGTGCAGACTCATGAGATATGCACTTTATAAACTCTCCAGAAAATTCACATGCTCACCAAAGTAAAATCGCTAACCAGATGTGGGGCTTTCCACATAGCTCCTAACTGATTCCTTACCTTTTCTGGAAAGCAAGGTTCACAATGCTCACCACAAAAGGCTTCTGATGGTCACCTATCTCCATCCCCGTATGTAGGACACATATTATACACAAACCCCCAGCCTGGATTTTTGTTTATGCAACCTCCATTTTTCACCTTACCCCAGTGCAAAAAAAAAATCCCTGAAATTTTAATAAGTGACTGTCTCAAAACGGAATATGACCTTCTTCATGACAGCGAGTCTTATGTATCTTTGCAAACCACAATTTGACATATAGTAGGCATTGTTTATGAAATGAATTAGTGAATGAATGAGTGTTACACATTTCAGTGCTGAGAGAACTGAAAAATCCTGCCCCAGAATAAGGAATCACTGTAAGGCGTTCCTTAATGCTATAGAATGAAAGCCGGGAATCTCAACTTTTGTCTAGAGCAGCAATTCTTCATTTTCTCTCTTTAGGTCACATATTCCTTTGAGAATCTAATGAAAACTATACATACCCTCTTTAAAAATGTATACATAGAGACTACACAATTTATATACACTTTCAGAAGCTTCAGAGAAGGAGAGGAGAACACTGATTTCTAATATCCAGAACTTTTACTTAAAAATGGAGCTGAAATAATAAATGCATTGTTCGACAAATTGTTAAGTTCAAGAGACTATGATCAAATGGAGCCTTGCAGGTGACATTAATCTCAGCAACAGCAAAAATATGAGTCACATTTCCTAGAAACTAGAGAAGGCTTACTTAAACAAGCTAGAGTTGTGCAGTTCTACTGCATTATATTCATTACACTCAGGTGAATGTTAACGTTCCTAACTGGCATTTCCCAGTTCTTAGTATTTTCTATTCCCCTTTTTTTCATAGTGATAATAAAGGCTTTCTGTATTTCAGCTATGACGAGACGCTTCACAGGAGAAAGGGATTATCATTTACTTATTAAAGGACATTTATCTCCTAGGTATATAGTTTGAAACCAATTGATGGTTCTTGCTCCTTACGGACTTAAAGGCTACTGGGAAATATTTAGTACAAATTCCAATATTCCTGACTTTGCAAGTCCTAAAGGCACTTTAGTTACAGTGGTGCGTGGACCTGCTCACACCAGAGTACAAGAACCAACTATGTGTATTCTGTTCCAGCTTCTCAGTGGCTTCATGTTGGAAGCTTGAAATCACCTCTACTGGACCATTTATACCACATAAATTGGCAAACACTATAAAGCACGACACCTCCATGCCTAGCAGTTGTCATTTACTACTATATTGTGTCCTCATCGCACTAAAATTATGGTTCTTGTTGCAGGGTTCCTTGATGGTAACTGGGGCAGGGAGGGCTTCTATTAACCTTTCAAATCCTCTCTCAACTATTGCCATAAGACCCAAGAGTAAAGGTGTGTTCTAGAAGACCTCAGGATATACTGGCTACCCTCTTTGGATATTAGGTGAATGTAGTATCTGATTAATTTGAGGCAATTCTGCATCTAATATGGTTAATCAAGAGTCACAAAATGTTCAGATAAAAATCATGCATCTCTGACCGTGGCAGTCAGTTTAAATCCCAGGGTGGGGCAAAAGTAGGTTTACAGTTGTGAGTCTGCAAAATAGAGTTAATTTTTGTATTATTACTTATTATCCTATTATTTTCCAAACAAACAACGGTAAACCTACTTTTGCTGCACCCTGTATAGTATGGGAATTAATACCAGCATTGAAAAGTTACCAATCTACAACCTATAAGATGTTTATCATCAATTACTATCTTAGTTTGATGCAACATTAGAAGTAGATATTCCTTGTTATCACTTTGCTACTGCTGTCAGTTTTAGCTGTAAAGGCTGCAACCACTTTGTAAGAATCTCCCACTGGAAAAACAGCTTCCTCAGCAACGTAGGCCACATGCAGAGCTAGCACTATTCATCTTCAGAAGTAAGACTCAGAGATGCACTGAAGAGCAAAACAATTTCATCTATCTGGCAGGCTAGATGATAAAACTCCCCACCTCACCTTCCAGTGGTCTTGCATTACCAGGTAAATATGACTACACAATTTCACAAATGGTTGCTACTGTAGTTAAGTGGAACGAAGACTTGTAGAAAACATCTAGGCGAGTATAAAATCATGAAGAAATGGACCAAAGGTGAAATGCAAATAGGAGGAAAGGGGCAGAGGATCTAAGGAAGTGTCTGCTTGCAGATGGCTCAGGATACTCACCTTCAGGTTATGCAGGGTTTCTGACCATTCCATGGACCCTATCTGAGGTATGGTAGTGAGGAGTAAACTTTTGGCTTTATTGGCGTTTTCTTTCAGAGTCTTTAAAACCCGGTCCACTGAAACCTAGGGAAACAACAGCACAGGATGTTACCAACAAGTAAAAATTCTGCTGCTTTTATGGAACATTTTCCTAAGTTCCTACCTCATCTGTAAAGTCAGTTTACTCCAGTTTCAATTCCCTGAACCCAAGTTCTGCATTTATCAAGATGCTCCTGGTCCTCGGGGGAGGTCTTGGAGAAACCCAACAACACCTCGGAAAAGCCCCGTTTCCAATATGGTGCCTGAGGAACTATCTCAGCTGTCCAATGTGCTAGCATGGTCTAGGGAGCTGTGGCTGTTCTCCCCAGATCCAGAGAATGGATTCCACTCATAAAACTGTTGCTACACTGGAAAACCAACGAGTCAGAAAATAAAATTTCCTTTTAGAGAAGTCTTCCAGCTAATAAAGAAAAATGATGGAATCAAAGTATCATTTTTTCTTTTGACAGCTCTCAATGAATTAATGGATAGGCTGCTAACATCACAAAACCAAACCAAACCAAACCAAACCAAACCAAATCCCAACCAAATAAACAACCCATTTCCGTGATAAAAAACTAAATACTATGTATGATACCTGACTCTGATCAAATCTCTAGATCCAGCGGCCAATTTACATAAAATACCGAGGACAGAGAATCTGGTTAAACTACCCAGAGATGATTTCAGCAGTTCAGACTGTGGGAAACTACAGGTCAAGTCACTTGGTTTCTTTTACAAAACTTGGAAGAAAAAAAAGTATTTGAGATATTTGAGATAACTAGAAACTTGAACTTTGCCTGAGAATATTAAAAAATTATGGCTGGAATGTGATAAAAATGTGGTTATGCCAGATATCTCCTAACATGTGTATGGACAAAGTTATGGATCAGAGTATAGATGAAATGTGATTGGCTATAAGTTGATATGATAATGATTGAAGTTGGATTTTGGATTCACAGAAACCCATAGTATTGTCTACTTTATATGGAACTAAAATTGCTTCATAAGGAAGAGTTGGAAAAAGTTGTGAATATAAAATGAATGAGCAGAGACAGAGAACTTGTCACACTTCACTATACTTGGAAGAAATCCAAGATTCAGGGGCACAATGATTACAGCTTTCATTATATTTCCTGGAATATAAAGTCCAGACCCCTCCCACAAACATCAAGATGTGTTTAGAAAAAATGATCAGTACCATAGAAGAGGAAGCCCCGTTACTGTGGGAACAGAAGGTGGCGACCAGCTGGGTGCCTGTCAGGCACGTGCACAGGCACATTTTAAGTGGAGCCCTGGAATTGCGGGGTCATACAGCATGCCAAGAGAGATTCACCTTGTATTTACTCTTTTCCTTACACTTTTCCTGTGACTGATACTTCTATACAGACTCTGACTTTTCTTTGTTTCTGCTGTTGAGCTCCACTCAAAATACCTCTGTTAACCTCCTCACAACCAACTCTAACCCCTTGTTCGAGGATCAGCTCAAATCTCAAGTTTCCTTCACGAACCTTTTCCCTTTCTACCCCCAGCTCCATTACTGCTACGATCTAATGGCCACCCTCCTGGGACCCAGCACTGTATTAGTGGTTCTGCACATACGACCGGGCTTACTTCTCCCAGTAATCCAGCGCGGTCAGGGTTGTAACTGAGCAACTCAAACCCCCACCCCAACGCCCTGGTTCCATCCTATGAAGAGTAACGTGTTAAATAACATGTCAGGTATCACAAGTAAATGGAGCAACAGGAATTTGAAGGTGGGTTGGCAACTCTAAAACCTTTTTATCATGCTGGCTCTACATCTGGTTTGAAGTACTATGACAGGCATGGCTGGCTGAGATGATGCCGTCTTTCTTACACCTCCCTTGTGGCACTTACCAGTATCTGCCTTCATACCTTGCCACTTACACAGAACTTAAGTTTCTCTACTTTTGAAAAAAAATTATAACTCAATAAGGTGCATATTTTTTAAAAATAATTTTTAAAAGATTTTATTTATTTATTTTTAAAGAGAAGGGAGGGAGAAAGAGAGGGAGAGAAACATCCATTGGTTGCCTCTGACACGCCCCCAACCGGGGGACCTGGCCCCCAACCCAGGCACGTGCCCAAGCTGGGAACTGAACCAGAGACCTTTCAGTTTGCAGGCTGGAATTCAATCCACCGAGCCACACCAGCCAGGGCTCTACTTTTTTTTAAAAAAAAAATCCTCACCCAAAGACATCTTTATTGATTTGAGAAAGGGAGGAGGGAGAGAGGGATAACAAGGCAGAGAAAGAGAGAAAAAGAGAGAGAGAGAGAGAGAGAGAGAGAGAGAGAGAGAGAGACATCTATTGGTTGCCTTCCATATACACCCTGACCAGGGAGCCAACCTGCAAACTTTTGGTACACGGGATGATGCTCCAATTGCATCACTTGACCCTGACTAGGACTCATTTCTCTTTTAACTGAAGTAGTTTCAATTGACTGCTTTCCAAACCTTGTGTGGCCCACTAAAGGAAAGGGCCATTAGCACTGCAGAGGAGAGAAATGTTTCTAGACTAGCAGAAAGCCACAGGCAGGACACAATGTGTTCTCAGAGGGTGGCAGAAACTGAAGTGTGCCCATTAGGTGATCAGAGCTAGCAAGACAGGGATTTTGTTTTTCAGGATTTATAATACCTTACATTAAAAAGCATCCTCATAGTTTATTACACTGAGGAGTCAGGATAAGGCATCACGCAAAACAAAGAACCTGTGTTCATCTATGACCTGAAATCCATATGAAAGGATGGACAGACAGCAAGAATATCCTATCCTGTTTTACATGAAACTGGATGGTGAAACAAGCAGCTCTGTGATGGTGATAAGGGTCCCCTTGCAGAAGATGTCACCTGTTTTAAATGTTCTCAGAACAGCCACTCTCTACACTTTTTTCTTACTTCCAAATTCTTTGACTGTAGTTCTGTCCCTTTCTCTATTTTAAAATAAGACAAATGATCTGGTTTCTTTATGTAAAAAGCAAGGGACAGAGACACAGAGGGGATTATTAGGTTAAAAGAGACATACTCAAATGAAATGTGTGAATTATAAAGGACCCTGATTTGAGTAGTTGAAATGATGAGACAAGAGGGAAAATGTGAATAGCCTGGATATTTGCTTATATTAAGGAATTAATACAAATATTTTTTGTACCATAATGGTCCTGGGTTATTGTTTATTACTTTATAAAAATGAAAAGAGGCCTTTTAGAAAATATTTACTTCAAACTAATGAAGGCAGGTGAGAGAGAAGTCGTAGCGGCACAGATATGACACAAGGTTGGACATCGCTGATGGTAGGAAAGATGACTGATGGGTAATAGGGGTTCATTATACTAGACTCTCTACTTTTGTAGATGCTTGAAGTTTTCCACAATGAAAATACTTGTTTTGGAAGCCTGACCTCAGTAGTCCAGTATCCTCAAATACCAGCTGCACTTTGCTGTTTCCTGCCTAAGACCCCTACCTGGCTTCCCATCTGAAATACACATCTCCTCAGCCCTGTCTCCCTCTGGCTCTGTCCTCTCCACGCCATTCAAGCAGGCCCACGTTTCCCACTACATGTAAGAAAGGGGTCCCAGATTTCTATTATTCAGTTGACTCAACTGGATTCATATTCCTGTATCTCTGCACACTATTTCTTTATACCCTGAGCTTTCTCACATTGGTTGCTTAACCTCTAACCACCCACCAAAAAACCCAGAATGTTGGCTCCTTACAAACTTGTTTTGTTGGCAGTCATACTCCTCACCGAGCAATGTGTCTACTCATAGTAGGTTCAACAGATAAGATATGAATACAGTCCACTTACCGGAAAAAGATAATAAGAAACAGTAAGTTTTTTCTTAAAACAAACAAACAAACAAACAAACCCAAAAACAGAACAGTAGCACAGCACAAGGAAATTATAACCAAAAGACCTTTAGCCTTAATAAAAGGCCCAAGTCTCAATAGGATTCTCAACATGTCTAAATGTCTACAATGGACTATTTGCTATTAATCCTTAGATAAGTGTCTTTTTCTTTCCTGTGAAGACCTAGGTTCTAACTTTCCAAAGGGAACTATCGAAGCTATCTGGTAATACCCAATGACAATGCATTAAAAGTTGACCTTAAAACCTGGCAGAAAGGCTCCTCCTGGAACTAAAGCAATAGAAACAAATAGATAAGATTTCTCTCTTACTGGCGCTCATGACACCCAGAAGCTCAGGCACCTAGAAACATACATGCTTTGGAGAGAATTCCACCTACCACTTCCTCGTGCTCCTTCCAGCAATCATAATCTGTTGCCATGGCAATACTTGCATAGCAAAGTCCAGCCTCCTTAGCAAGAACCACCTCTGGAACTGTGGTCATGTTGATAACATCTGCGCCCCAGGTACGAAACATGAAGCTTTCTGCCCGGGAACTAAAACGAGGTCCTTCGATTGTAATCATCGTCCCTTTCGAGTGGCACCGCAGTCCTAGCTTCTTAGCAGTCTCTATGAGGACCTAGAAGAGAAAGAACCACAAACTCAAAGCATACAAACCTAAGAACAGCTTATTATTTTATTTGTTTCCATGAAACTTAAAAAGTTGATTCAAGATTTTTACTCTAAAAGCCTAGTAGCTGCAGGCCTTCAGAGAAAACCTGGGAGATGCCGGTTTCCCAGACTCTCACCCACTTACATATCCTGTCTCCCCCGCCCCTGCACAGACAGCTCACAGCTACAAGGGCAAACAGTGAGCTTTTTTTTAAGCACCAAGAATTTATTTACATGCTTTAATTTCATTTATTTCTTAACAATTTTAAGAGACTAAGCTCAGCTGTGAACAAGGACTTGAGCCTGGGCTCTTAACCTCCAAGGCTCAGCGAAGGCGGCGTTCCTCATTCACATCTCCTCAAAGACACGTGCTGAGAACTGCCTCCACGCTCCTGAGACATTCATTCTCATTGCTCTTTTTGATTAGAAAGTAATTTCTTCATCATCTCTTCGGCCTGTTGCCTCTCCAAGGACACACATTAAAAACAGAATGGGGCCACTCTGATTTTTTCTGTCCAGGGATAAACGCGTCTTAGCATCCCTTTCGTGGCAAGGCCACACATGGGTTTTAGAAACATTATTTATAACTTCGATCACTTTTTCTGGTGTCTAATTAATAACATCTAATCTTCAGGTTATTAATTAATTTCATTTTTTTAAACCTGTGCTTCAACATTTTTTTAATTAAAAAAGTCTTTTACACTTAACTGTTAATTAAGAGCTGCTGAAAATTCACTTAACCTTTGTATGTCTTAGTTTTCTCACCTGTAGAATGGGAATAACATTGTGTGAGGATCAAATGAGCTAAGGATATACAGCATAGAATTGTGTCAGACACGTTGTAAATGTATAAACGATAAACCAGACTTCTATCAATTATTAGTTCAGCAGGTCCTTGAACGATGTTGTTTCATTGTAACATTGATGAGGAAAAAAAAAAAATTGGTTCCCACTGAGCCACTGTCTGTGTGGCGTTTGCATGTTCTCCCCATGTCTGGATGGGGTGTCTTGGGGTACGCACATCCCAAAGATGTGACATTAGGTGGTTTCTACACTGTCCTGGCCTGAGAGAGTGTGGGCGTGCTCAACGCATCCTGTTGATGGAAGGGCCTTCAGTCTTGGGTGGGCTTCCCGCCCAATGCCCTGGGCTGCCAGCAGACGGGCTCTAGCCACCTGTGACCTTGAACCAGAATAAGCAGGTTGGAAAATAACTATCTTACCTGTTTTTATTCATCTTTCTTAAATGTATATATCGCTCACATTTATTTCACTGTTTAATGTTAGAAAGGTTTTGGATCTTTATATTTAGAAGTTTGGCGCTACTTTTGTCACCAGCAATAGGTTCTAAGAACTCAATTCTTGTTTATCTCAGCCTATTGTAAAATTGATTTCATTGTACATCATTTTGCATGAAGTCGCAGTTTCCAAGAACCTAATGAGGCTTTATTGTACTGGCAGCTTCTACAGTTCACCAAATAATTGGCAAAGGCTCCTGGGAGATTATATATATATAATCACATACACACTATAAATACACACATATACATATACTATATATGTAAAATATATAATCACACACTATATATAAAATGGATCGACTCAAAGTCAGTAGAAGGCTCCAATGCCCAATGTAGGGCAAGTCTTGACTGCTAATGTCTGAACCATATAAGCAAATTAATCTATTCCCTTATAAATAACTTATACTATGCTATGACAATGGGAGAAAGAATTTTCATTAAAGCCGTGGCAATTCCAAATTTAGAACCATAACAGGCCACTGATGATAAATAGTTGACTACATCATGTTTGTTTATTCTATATATACTGAAAATAAGACGCTTAATGTAACCTTTTCCTGAAAGAGTACAGGTTATAAATGCAAGGGCCTAAATCACGTCCCCCCTCCCCTCGTTTTTTCCCAAAGTTAATATAGTGAATATATAACCAGCCCAGTCCTATCTTCATCAAACGTCTTTAAAAATCCTGAATAACGGAGCTGTATGTCTCAGACAGCCTTTACAGTACGTCTAGAGGTGAGTGCAGGAAGATCACAGCCAGTCCGTGCCACTGGCCTGCAGCTCTACGCCCTCGCCGTCAGCCTGGGAGGTGGGTGCCATGATGGGAGGAGCACAGGCCCCTGGATGCAGACTGGACACGTGATGGGCTCTGCGGCCTTGCTACTTGAACCAGCACTTGGCATCACCACGAGAACACATAACACCATCATAAGGTATCAGAAATAGAAATGACAGGCTGAGAGATCTCGGGGTCTGAGGCTAAGCGGCTTTTATTTCCACGTCTCAACTAATCATAATGGAACTCCTTAATCTACCATTGTCCTCATGTATTAGCAATAGTAGATCCCCAGGCTCAATAAATTTCCTGTATCAGGAACTCTCAAAGAGTGCATTCCCAATTACTTCCTGAAATGACTAGAAGTCACACTATTTTTGAAACGGGTAAAATCATTCTTCCACCTAAGTATAAGCGACACAGTTCACCGCTTCAAGGGAAACCACTGTTTTTCTGGTCAACTTCCCAGAGAACACTCTATTTGCACACATATATTCTCATATTCATTTTTACAACCCCCCCAAATGGAAGGATATGGTACAACTGTTGTCTATCAAGGGAGGCCACGTTCATTCCTGGCAGCCGTTGCCCAGGCACCACATTTACATGTGCTCTGTATACCTCAGTTGTACTTCCTCTGCCCACCTCTACCCTGCATACTGAAGTCACTATTTTCTACCTGGGATAAGATCTTAAATTTCCTACTAACATGATACTCTTTCCCTGATCTGTTTCTCCCAAAACTGCCCCCATTTTGAAATGGACAAGCATTTTATACACATCTAGTTTCCCTAGAGAGTAAGTTCACTATGTGGACAGATCTGTGTTTCAGAGGGAAGGCTGGCAGCATTTTGATATACGTGTTCTGCCAATAACTAGATACATGTACATATGTATGTAAAAACTTAACTTGCCATTTTACAAAAACATGTAAAAAAATGTACTTTCACAGAAGTCAGAGAGAATGCACACACAATGGTATACCTCAAATGGCTCACCACACCCCTGGACTTTGCATTCTAGTTTTTGTTTTTTTTTCTTTTCAAAAATAGGCCAGAGTGAGGTTAGGGTGCCCTTGCTGTTCACTATAAGGAAACTAGTTTTCATGGCTATGCAGGGGTGAATATAAAAGCTGTAACAAATCTTCTGCTTTCCATGTGCAGATGTTAATATTAGCTGAATGACTAACATGTTTAGGTATTTATATTCTGTAAATTAATTTAAAAGTAGATTTCATGAGGCTGTTCACCTCTGACAATGCTTCAAATCTGTTGTGTTGCACCTGGCTTTCAAACCTGGGATTATAATATGACTCTGACTTTTGTGAGGCTGTCCCCTTTGTTCTGAGATTCTACTTTTACCTCAGAGAGAAGGCTGGAGAATAATGGCCCAACTCAGCTCAAAGATAAATGATGCCAATCTGACAATTTATAAAATATCAATAACAATCTAATTCATAAAAGCAGTTACCAGTCATTAGATGTTTCAATACTAATAGGCACTGTTCAAAGCACTTTGTAAATATTAACTCTTTAATCCTTCACACAGTCCTCTGATGTACGTGTAATCATTACCTTCATTTTACAAACAAGGAAACTGAAGCCCAGAGGTCTTTAAGTAACTTGTCCAATGACGCACAGCTATTAAGCTGAAAAGCAGAGATTGGATCCCAAGTAACCTGGTTCCAGATTATACGCTCTTGACAGATATGCTAGTCTATACTAAATTATTTAAGAGGTATCCTGACAACACAATCCAAGCTTATACAAAATGGTAGGTTGCAACACTGAGTGATTCCGCTTACAAATGACTGACAGCCGTGGAGGCATTATTAGCAAAGGAAGACAACTCTTCATAAAACCCTGCGTAAGACATAAACTTGAGAGGGGAAAAGGGACCATGTGCTTATTAGCCAATTAATCTAACTCTAGATGCCACCCACATCCCTTAGGATTTAATCCTGGTGGACCTTCCAGAAAGACTACGAACCTCTCGCGTTTTGGGGCAGAATGGCTCAGCCGCTGATATGTGGCACACTCCTCTGGCGCAGGAATGGCTCCCATCATAGAAGGTCTGAGGCCTTTTGGTGGTCCTACAAAATAAAGTGAAAAGGCTTTTTCGTTGTTGTTTTGTTTCAAAGAAGGCCATCTCTCCATTCTCAGGGGGCTGGTGAAGTCAACTATATCTAGGTCAACATCTTGGTCCAACTCCAGAGTCAATAGCTCTGGACACGCTGAAGGCAACTGGTAAAAAAGCAGCTTCAGGATGGTGTCTGGCTTCTCTGGCTCTGGGTTGGTGGCAACATATTTTCTCACAGGAATTAAAGTGTCTGTGGTCTCGTGGCTGTGACAGGATAACCACACCGGACTGCAGGTGCGACTCAACTGCAGGCTCAGGAGGGCAGGAAAAACACTTAAGAAGTCACCATGAAAATTCCCCATTATTGTAAATGTAAAGGACTGTACAGTGACCCCATTTATGTCCATCACCTAAATTTGACAATCTCCAAAGTTGTGTGGTATCTGCTTTATCTGTTAGCATCTCCATGGTTGCAAATCCCTGACTCTGTCATTTACTCCTTCTTCAGATGGACCAAAATATGTGGACTATTTCTACTGCAATGTCATTATCACATCTAAAAAAACTAATGTTAATTCCTCAGGATCTGCGGAATTAACATTAGATAGGATTCCATTAACAGGAATACATAGACCATATGCAAATTTCCCTGATGTCCTCAAAAGTGCCCTTTTTGCAAAAATGTTGCTTTGTTAGTTTTGGATCCAAATAAAGTCCTCACCTTGCACTGGACTTTCATGTTTTTAAATTGAGAGTAATTCTTCTCTACCCGCAATCTTATTTTTTATGCCTTTGACCTGAGAAAGCAGCATTTTGTTCTGCTGCAAATTCAGGAATTTCTCTCTCTGCTGCCTTGTTCCTCTACCCGCATTAATTAGTTCTGAAGTCTCTTAGTTCCACTTTTTTGCAGAAAGTTTTTGAATTCAAAACCCAGTGCCAGCAATTTCTCACCAGAAATTTTCAGAATAAGCCATTTTCTGAGTCCATTATATTGTTCTAAGTTTGAACTCATGAGTGACAAAGGGAAGAGCATCCTCATTTTCCTACAGAGGGGAGCGCAGGAGCAGGGCAGGGCAAGGGAAAGCCACAGGCAAGGTAGAGCTTAAGGCCGACTTCCGGGGGCAGGAGGGTGGGGCACACCACCGAGGAAGCTTTCCCAGTCCAGTTTACACAGCTGGCATGTCTACCTACCAAAGCTAACCTGTTCCTTGCACCCTGTCACATACTGACTCTGACACCAGTTGACAACAAAGCCACCTTGCTCAAAGATGAGGCCTCAGTGCTGTGGAGGAATAAAAACCCCCAACAGCACTGAGGTCTTAGTGTCTTAGAGAAAAGGCTACCTTAACCCTGAAGCAATTTCAGATCGGGGTGAAGAATAGGTCATGGCACCATGTATTCCAGCCCTGGCTTGATTTTGGCCTTAATGAGTCAAGTATTAGCAACACCTCTATTTACAACTGTGACTGAATATGAAAATAGGGCCATAAAACCTCAGTTACTACACCCTGCTAGACATCGATGTTACAACACCCCCATCTTATCTGTCCCTCTCTTTTTCCTCCATCCCTTCTTTGCCTAATTAATCCTGATTGCTCTGAACTTTTACCTTAAAATATAACATGTACTATTCATGCTTCACACTATACTATAAATATGTGATACTTATTATTTTTATTATTATCCTTAATCCTCACCCAAGGATATTTTTTTATTATTGATTTTAGAGGGAGAGGAAGTGGGACAGGGAGGGAGGGAAGAGGAGAGAAGGAGAGAAAGATCCATTAGTTGCCTCCTGTGCGCACCCCAACAAGGGGCTGAACCCTAAGTTTTCAGTTTCTTGCTCTTCCCCCTCTCCTTCTGGCACCCCTGATTCAGATGTTGGAAGGTTTAAAGTTGTCCCAGAGATTCCTTAGCCTCTCCTCGTTTTTCTGAATTCTTTTTTCTTCATTCTGTTCTGGTTGAATGTTTATTTCTTCCTTTTGCTCCAAATTATTGATTTGACTCCCAGTTTCCTCCCCTTCACTTTTGGTTCCCTGTATATTTTGCTTTGTTTCACTTTGTATAACTTTTACTTCTTCCTTTATTTGTGGCCATACTCAATCATTTCTCTGAGCATCCTGATTACCAGTGTTTTGAACTCTGCATCTGATAGGTTGTCTATCTCCTCTCGTTACTTAGTTCTTTTCCTGGAGTTTTGACCTGTTCTTTCATTTGGGCCGTATTTCTTTGTTTTGGCACACCTCTTACGTTGTAAGGGGCAGGGGCTTAGGTATTTGCAAAGGCAGGGCAACCCACTTTGCTGCAGTTGTGGCGCTGTATGTCGGGGAGGGGTCACAGAGGGAACAATGATGCTTGCTTGGCTCTTGCCGGCTTTCAGTCATTTCCCTGCTTCCCGCAAGGACTGGAGCCCTTCCGGTTGGTGCCCTGGTGCGGATTCCCCAAATGGGTGGGCTTGTGTATGTTCTAGGACCCCATGGGCCCCTCCAACAGACTCTCCTGAGAGACTGGCAGTTTCTTCCGCTGTGGTAACCCCCTTAGTTTTTACAGCCAGAGGTTCTGAGGCTTTATTGTCCTGGTAATAGAACCCGGGGGTGCATGGTTTGTCTCACTCACCAGTTGTTCCTCCTGGCTTATCTGCATGCAAATATGAGACCACCTGGTCCGCCAGCTGCCGCCTGGCCCACCTGGTCCACCAGCCACTGCCTCGCTGCACGTCCTCTCTGCCCCAGCTGCCCGTCTCTGCCCCTCCTACCTAAGGATGAATGTTTCTTCTTTAACTCCTTGGTTGTCGGACTTCCATGCAGTTTTATTTTCTGGCAGTTCTGGTTGTTTTCTGTTTTTAAATTGGTTATCCTTCTTTTGGTTGTGTGGGGAGGCAAAGTGTTTCTACCTATGCCTCCATCTTGGCTGGAAGCACCTTCTTCTTTTATTTTTAAATCCTCACCCGAGGGCATTTTTCTCATTGCTTATTTTTTCTTATTTTAGAGAGAGGGAAAGGGAGAAAAAGAGAAACATCAGTGCAAGAGAGTAGCATCGATTGGTTGCCTCCCATACACGCCCGGATGGGGACTGAATTCACAACCTAGGTATGTGCCCTGACTGGGAATCGAACCTGCAACCCCTCGGTTATGAGACAACAGTCCAACCAACTGAGCTGTACCAGCCAGGGACTACAGCTAGTTTCTTGAAGGAAGAAACTAGTTCTGCAACAGTGCCTGGGTGGGCACCTTTTCCTGATAAAGGGGACCCTTAATGGAATCTGTTCTTCCTTCCATCAAGAGACAGAAATGAAATCTACTCCTGGGTCCATGGTTAAATTTGCCTCAGGCTGGGCCTGATGGGAAGCTGTGTTCCAGCTTGTGCTGAGAAGAATGTGAAGGATCACACTTCTGGAAGCAACCTAGACCAAGGACAAGAGTTCACGAGTGGTGGCTGCTCTACTGACTTGTGAAAGTGACAAGTAGTGGCAGGCAGAATAAAGCCACACCCACTTCTATGCAAAGATATCTACATCCTAATACCCAGAACCTGTGAATATGTTATTTTACATGGCACAGGGGAACTAAGGCTACAGAGGGAATTAAGGGTGCTAAGCAGCTGAAACTAAAATGGATAGGTTATCCTGGATTAACTGGATGGGTTCAGTGTCATCACAAGAGTCCTCACATGTAAGAGGATGAGGCAGAAAGTCAGTGTCAGAGTGCAAGAAGGACTAAACCCACTACTGCTGGCTTTGAAGATGGAAGGAGCCAAAGCCAAGGGATGCAGGTGGCAAAGAGCAAGGAAACATTTCTCCCCTAGGCTTCGAGAAAGGAATGCAGCCCTGCTGACACCTTGATTTTAGTCCGTGACACCTATGTTAGAGTCCTACAGAATTACAAGATAATAAGTTTGCACTGTTAAAGTCACTCAGTTTGTGGTGATTTGTTATAGCAGCGATAGGAAACTTCCACACATGCTTATGTGGTTTAAGATACTGTTAACTCAGTTATGGCTTCTGCAGTAATAAAAAACTGATGATGAAGGTCTGCCCCTAATTCTTGCTTTAATTGTAACCCCCCGGCTCAGCAAGATGATTGCCAATTTCACCTCTCCATTAGTTTGGGACATTCACCAGAAAAGACTTAAGGGACTGACTGATCTGGCTGGCTCACCAGCTGTATCCCTCTAGACAGTCACTCTGATCTCTCTACACCTCAGTTTATATCAGTTTTTTTATATTTAAAATGGAGAATCAATACCACCCACCTTCTATGGACTATGGACAGACTGAAGGACCACACAAGAAGTAAGTGTTCAGCACTGGTCATCGCTCTTTATGGAAAATCCGCCAAGCTCAGAGCATGACACATGTATGGGCTGAGTCAAGGGTATCCAGCAAACTGCTCAAGGCTGTCAGGCAGGGATGTGTGCTAAAAGATGTTAGTGTACAAAATAAAAAAACCTGCCAACGGAAGAGTGCAGGAGACAAAATCATGTTGTACACTCGCAAACGAAATGAGCTCAAGACCAGGGAGAGAACGCTGGGTACTTGCAGAGAGAGGGGGAAGAAAGCCCAGAGAAAGACAGACTGGTTGGTTGTTTCTGGATGAAGACTCTTAAATCAGAGATAGCCATTTGTTAATCATTTTCCTATGAGGACATTCTGAGTTGCAAACAAGCAGAGGGAAAATACCTGTATAGCAGAGGCATGGCGCATGTCCACAAAAACCTCAGTGTGCTGGAGCAAGAGTTAGTCAGTTCACCAGTGAAGCAGGGGCAACTGCTAGCTGCTCATAAGAAGGGTGGTTCAGGGGAACTGATTGTACCACGTCACTTAAGATATTCAAACAGGCTCCTGGTCAAGAGGAGGCATAGGCAGACATACTTTGTCTCACTGAACAACCATAAAAAGGAACACAACGAACTTAAAAATAAAAATCACCTAGGACTGCCAGAAAATCACTCAGAAACACACCCAAAACTATATGGAAGTCAACAACTAAGGATTTCAAGAAGCTATATTCATCC